TGTTGGATCTTAACGTGACTTTTGTTTAGTTCATTGGGTTCTTGAACTTGTAGATTGATCTTCTGTATAATTTTAAGAAATGGGTTATTGTCATTATTAAGTATGACTTTAAACTAGTATTTTTTAAATTTTATTTTTTACAGTTATTAGTTGGCTCTTTTATATGATACCCCTTATATTTCATTTAAAACTTTTTTTTTAAAGTTTCAAATTTCAGCTGGATTATCTTATATTGACATTTCTTTTTAATTTACTATCTTTTTTTTTCTACATTGTCTGTTATTAATCTTACCTGTTTTATTTTTTATTTCAGTTCTGGTTTTCTTCTGACCTAGAATCATTTTAGCATAAATTACAGTTTTTTTAAAAAAAGTAATCTATGTGATAACTTTGATTCGCTTGTATTTCTACTTATTGTCAGTTTATTCTTTTGGTCCTAGTCTATATTCTGCCTTGTCATTTTTCCTTGAATTTATTTTTTTAAAAAATGGTTAAGTTCTCAGTGATATTTAACTTTTCACAGGCCATTAGAGAAAGTGAAAATTATTTTTTGAGTTTTCTCAGGTTTCAAAAAGTTACCTATTTCCAATTTTTTTTCACTTTCAGGATTACTAGAAAGCAACCTATTTTCAGTTTTTTCTTACAGTTAGGACTAATAGAATGGATTTCTTAGTTATTTGAATTGAGATCACTGTATATTTACTAAATCTCAGCTCTGGCCACTTTGACCTTGACAAATCTTGGACCTCTATTTCAGTAATATTTTTCTACTGAAGAGTCTATACAACACCTTAAACTTTAGTCTTTGGTTGTGTGTTGACCTTTTCTTTCTTAAACTCTTTAGGACCTGAAAAGTATCTTCAGTGGTACAGTGCACAGCAGTACTGATTTACTTGACCTTATAAATTAAAATTGGAAAAAATTAAATTGTTTAATCGCACTCGCTTTTGTCATATAGATACATATTTTAATCCTGCTATTTTATAATGATCAGTTACTACAGTGATTGTCACTTGTTATTTGTATTATTGATATAGCTTCAGGATGTGTTCCTGAAAGAGGGTTGCTCTTAACGAATGTGAAATGTATATATAGTGGTATTGGTATGGCCCGTTTTATCTCTAGATGGATGATTTCAGTTTATATTTACAGTAGCAGTATGTGAATAAGTTTGTTTCCCCATAGCTTTGCAAACAGAATTTCGTATCATTTTATTTTTTTTCTCCAGTCTCATAAATAAATAACAAATGGTATTTCGGTATTATTTTAATTTGCAATTCCCTCATAAAGTGGCGAATTCTTGAGTGGCACAGACACCTACTTAGCAAGTGGTTGATGTTAAAACCCTTTGGAAACTGGCTTGATGACTCACTCCCAAAAGGCCTTGAAAGCCTGCAGAACATTTTGGCCTATACACGTGAATGTACCATGAGTTGAAACTGAGTTGGTCACTATTAACATCAATTTCCGGGGGCTCTGGTGGTCTAAAGGTAAGTAGGTAACTATGCTACCAGCCCTAAAGCATGCAATTAGAATCAACTACTGCTCCACTGGATGAAGATGGACAGTCTCCCTGTATGCTATTTACAGCTTGTGGAAGCTGGAACGTCAGCTATGACTTAGTTTCCACTCAGAAGCACATAAAACTAGCAATTATCAGGGAGCTCTGGTGGCCCAGAGGGTAAGGAGTGTGTTGTCAACCCAAAAGCAGGTGATTTGAATCCATCAACTGCTTGTAAGAGAAAGAGGGACTGTTTCCTCCAGTGTAGTTTAAAGCCTCTGAAAACCCACTGGATGGTCAGCCATAAGTCAGTTCTGACTTGACGATACATAAAAAGAATAATAATTATAAATTTAGACATTTTCTCCAGTTACAGACATTATTCTTTCTTTCTTGGTGAATTGTTTGTTACTATATTTTCTCTGTTTTTCTTTCACAGATTTTTTTATTTTTTTGTCTTAACTACTAGAAATTGTTATATTATAGATTAAGTTAAGAGGATGATATCAATTTAATGACATGTTTAAAGAAGTAGTTTAATTAAATTTTAGAAAAGAGACTATGTGGAAGCATAGTGGCTGCTCGAATCAGAAAAGTGCTTTACATAATGTCATGAAGAAGTTGTACTATAAGCAATGAACATATCTTTACATATGGAGAAGACCAAAGCTTTGTATATGCATCCTAGGAGATCAATCTTTGAAGTAGTACGTTCATGTCTGGTGTAAAGGAATACAGAAAAACAGATCAAGGAAAACAAGGACTTTGGCTACTGCTTCACATGGATTGCTTTTTATTTATTTAGATTTTTCTGGTGTGTTCGTTTAGTATATGAAGTAGTTTATTACAATTTTTCATTTTTTAGTCTTTATCTGCTAGGTAGACTTTTAGGACCAGGATTGTGTATGATCGTTCAAGAACTACGTACTTGAATGATTCCTAGTTTTACCAGTTAAGGCTCGGTGACATTGAAGAAATTATTTGACCTTTTAGTGCTTTGAGTTTTCTTTTATGTAAACTAGGAATAATATCATCACTAATAATGTTGTTATAAGACCTTTCCAGTTAACCTTTTAGTGTACTTAGAAAGAATACCTGACAGATAAAAGAATCAGGACATAGTAACTACTTTTATTAATTATTAATTAATTATTGTTATTATATTTTGCTTGTCTATTTCACCAGTTTGCCACTTAGCAGCCTTGAATAACCCTATGCTAAATGTTAGTGTCAAATTAATTATTTACATGTTTGGAAATAACTTTAGGAAATGTCTATACATCCTTTAACCTTACCATTATCACCTAGAAAACTTATTTCTCAGGTAACCTAGTAGAGGATTTTGTTCAGTCTTTCTTTTTTCTTTTAAAATAGTCATTATTTAGTGATTGTCTACTGAAAAGATACTATTACTTGACAGCTTTCTCTTTTGATATATTGCATATTTGACCGTATGACAAAATGTTGAAAACTGGTAGGTTATTAATATGGACATGATTTCAAAATAATGTTATTGGAAATGATTCTAAGAAAATGCCTTCAAACTTGACTACAACTCATAGCAACCCTATGTACAGCTGCTTTGAACCCTGCCTTATCCGGAGCCAATCTGACCGTCTCTGACACAATCATCCCCATTGCCCCAGTAACTGTGTCAGTCTATCTCATCCAGAGTCTACCTCTCTGTGCTGTCCCTCTATTCTCTCAAGCATGATATCCTTTGCCAAAGACTGGTTTCTCCTGGTTACATGCCGAGGGTATGTGAGATGGAGCTTCAAAATCCTTGCCTCCAAGGAGCAGCTTGGGTTTATCCTCTCCAGGACAGGCCGGTTAGTTCTTTTGGCAGTCCATGGTATGTTCACTACTCTTCTCCAGTACCACAACTCAAAAGGCATTGATTCTTCTTCTGTCATCTTTGATTATTGCCCAGTTCTCTGCTGCATTAACTTATTTCATTCTCACCATAACTGTATTATCATGGTGTTGCTGAAGGTGTTGTTTTATAGATAACAAAAGGAAGATACATATTCTTTAACAAAATTAGTTACCAGCCGGAGCCAGAACTTATATTGTGCTAATCAAGTCAGAGTCAACTCTATGTCACTTAACAACAACAGCGACAGCTTTTATCTATAGCTTTTATTATGAGTTGGCATAAATTGCCTTTAATCAAATAGAAAACTTTGAAGTAAAAACCCCATGTTCATTTTTGTAGTAGAGAAAATCATCTAAGTTTGAGAATGTAGTGCTTATTGTGGGAAATATAACAATGGGCTCAAGTATATCAGAGACAATGAGGATGGCACAGGACCAGGCAGGGGTCAGATCTGTCATCCCTGGCATCACTACAAGTCGTAGTTGGCTCTAGAGACCTCAATCCACGACAGTATATAAAGAACAAACAAGTCTGTCTTGGAGAGAGTGCAATAAGGGTGTTCCTTAGAAGCAAGATAAGGTGAAAAGACATCTCTTACTTCAGGCATTGTTTCAGAGAGGGCTAGTCCTTGGAAAAAGATATCATGCTGAGAAGGCTGAAGGATCAGAGAAAGAGAGGAATACCCTCAAGAAGATGTATCAAGTGACTGTACCAGTGGGTTCAAGCATATTCGAGATGATGAGATTGGTATAGGGTTGGACAAACTTCAGATCTACAGTTTATTTGGTTGCTGTGAGTCGTAATCAACTCCCTGGTGCCCAGCAACAACTGTAGCATAAATAAATTTACCAAAAAGAAACATCTTTTCCATTAGAATTAGGAAATATTTTTATTCTGTAATTTGTATATTTCAATAGAATGTCTTTGGAATAAAATGTCATAATGTGTATTGAAAGAAATATTTTTAAATGCACATGGAATAGTAGTAGACGAACATCCACTTCCTAAACAGCATGCCTCTGGAAACTCTGAACTTTGAGAAACGACGATAGTTACAAAAAGGTTTCAGGTCTTTCGTTCATTGTGTTGCTGTGAGTTGTGCTTGACTTGACGGCAATCAACAACAACAGCATCTGAATATTGAAGAATTTCATGTAGTTCCCTGATATATACAAATGAAATTTTGCTGTAGGATTGTTGTTGTTTGGTGCCGTCGAGTCGTAGACGACTCATAGCGACCCTATGAACGAACAGCCTGAGCACTGTTCATACATAGAGTTTCTGGAGGTACTTTTATTGAATTCTACTTTCACCTATATGTTTTTACTGTTTTGTTTTTTTTTAAATCTAGAATGGGTCTTAAATTGAAGAATCTGTTTCAATAGATACAAATGTTATGGATTACAAATGATGTTTTCTAGAGGATTCTTGAATGAAAATGTTATTCCATTTAGAAACATTAATGATCCCTAAAGTCTGTAAGCAAAAGAAAAGTCCAGATCTGTTTCTGTAGCTGATAAATCACCTTATTTAATATTCTACTAAAAGTAATACTGGAATAAGAAAATAAAACCTGACTCTAGATTGATTGGTATTTAACATATATGCTTTATTTTTCTCTAGCTACAGCAAAAAATTATACCGGATCAGGACCAGTTGATGGCAGTAGCACTAGAGTGCATCTATAACTGTGAACGAAGTGACCAGCTCTCTATTTGCTATGACATATTAGAATGTCTTCCACAAAGAGGATATGGGTAAGAAGTTACACTATAATGTACTGTTGTGTTATTATTACATATCTTTTCTGGATTCTCTAGGAAAAGATAACCAATAAAATTTATATATATATTTATATATACATAGAGAAAGTAAGAGAGTGATTAATTTTAAGAAAAATATCTCATATGCTTGTAAAGACAAGTTCCAAGTCTGTAGATCAAACCTCATGAGAGGAGCACCTCAGAAGGCAGAGTTCAGGCTGTCAAGCAGTAAGGGTCTTATGATTCTGGGTTTTGTAGGTACTTGCTTAAGAGGCTAATACGTCCAAGGTTGTTGTTGAGAAGCAGGATCACAGAAAGTCTACTACCTTTGGATATAGTTAACTACTGGCCTTAGAGGCTGGCACATCCAAAGGCTGCTGTTTTGGGGAAGAAGAATCATAACAGCATAGATTTGGACACTGGGAAGTCCAAAGCCAGCAAGTACAGCAGGCTACTGGTCTTAAGTCTGGAAACCACAACTCACATACTAGATAACTCCATCTCTCTCATTGCTGTGGAACTGATTCATTGCTGACCCTCAAGCACATTTACAGAGGTTTATATCAGAAGAAATGAGATACTCCCTTGAGGTAGCTGGTAGGTTTGAATTGCCTGCCTTTGAGTTGACAATGCAACTCCTTACTCTTTCGGCCATCAGAGCTCTAGGTGATTGCTCGAGTCCAAATATACTTGCCTTTTGGAACACAACCCTAAGAAGACCTATCCTTAATCAGATTACTAATTATATATTTATAGATCCACTTGTAATCCTGCCTTATTAATATAGAAGTTAGGATTTATAGCACATAGTATAATTATATTGTACTGAACATTATGGTCACAGTAAAACAAATAGAATACTCAAACAAATAGAATACAAAAAAATCAGATTGGGTGTGACGATAAGGCAGGAAATATAGGAAAATGTACCTATAGTTAGGAAAACTATTGAGTTTTATTTTTTAAGTGAAAAAGAAAAAGGTCAGTCATACTGTGTGTGTGGGGGTAGTAAACATCTTTGTAACAAAATAATTAGCCATTTTAGTCTTCACATGTACAGTTCAGTTACACTGAGTATGTTCATCAGGTGATTGAGCCATTCCTTACACTTACTCAGTTCCATGTTTTCCCTCATCTTTAATAGAAGCTCAGTGTCCTGTGAGCACTGTTTCTTCTTTTCCTTCTCCCTCTCACCCAACCCTGGTAACGAACTCTATTCCTCTTCTGCTTTAGGTTTTTCATGTAAGCAAGATTGTATCTATTGTCCTTCCCGTCATTTCCTTTTTTCAAGTGTTAGATGGTTCCGAGTTTTATGATTTATCTTAATTTTCCCCCAAAGTATTGATCTTCTTAATTTTCAATGTTTTTTACCATTCAGTCTTTGTTAAATGAGCTGAAACAGTTCTTCAGTTTTATTTTCTTAACTACCTTTTTATCTTTAAATTTATTTTCAATTTCATATTTATATTCTTAGACCTTTTTCATATCACTTAAAAAATAAAATTTTACTCTTTATTTCATAGCTGTAGGTATATTTTCTTCTAGTTCCTGCTTTATCTTTACTCTTCTCCTAATTTATAGGTTTTGTATTCTGTTTGAGTCTCTGCTGCTAGTGTTAATGGGTACCCTCCCAACCCGTGTCATGATTCCTGACATTTTATTTTTGTTTGAGAAATTAAAATACTTATTAGAAGCCTGTGTTGCGAGGAACTACCATGTCTAAGAGTAAATGACTCTATGGGAACCATTGGTCCTAGAGGGGCTATAGACGTAAGAGACAATTGAAGAGTTAAATAAATTTTGAAGCAAAATGTTTTTCTTATAAAAACCCAAGCAGCATAGTGGCTTTATGGAATGAAATAGAAATGCCCTGTAGGGTGTCTTTATTGAAGTAGACTATCACAGCATTCTCTTGTGGAAAAGCTGGTAGATTTGAATGGCTCCATCTTTCAGTTAGCAGTTGTTCAGTTAACTGCTGGTTGGTGATAATCCTTTTGTCATTATTGAGTTGACTTCACCAGAAAGTGGCCTGCCCTATGTACAACAGAGTGAAACCCTGCACCAATCCTGTATCAGCCTCACAAGTCTACTTGCTCAAGCCAATCATTGCCATCACTTTGTTAGTCATTTTGTTAAGGACTTCCTCTTCTTCACTGACCCTCTAAGTCTTCCAAGTATTCTATCTTTCCCCAAGCACTAGTCCCTCCTGTTAGCATGCCCAGGGTATATGAGACAAAGTCTCATGTTCTTTGCTTCCACGGAATGTGCTGGCTTCACGTCATTCAAGACAGCTTTGTTCTTTGTTAGCAGAGGCATGCTTGGTGAAACACACATACTTTGAGCATGTTTTAAAGAGAGACCAGTTCTTGGAAAAGGCATAATGCTTGATAAGGTAGAGGGTCTTTATCTCTTTTTTGAAATACTTGACAACTTCAATCTTTTCTGTTTATCATAGTGTTGCTTACTGATCCAGTTGTATTTTTTTTATATTGATGTGTATTCTTCAAAGTTATCAGTAAGTTAACTTTATTAGTAAGCCTTTGAAGTCTTTGAACTTTATTATTAGGTGTTTCAAATATTACTTATATTCTGAAAACAGAAAACCTCAACCCAATGGATAGCAAGATGTCTGTTGAAATTGCTTCTCCATTAAGATAACATGACACAGATGCATACTCCTTCATATCTGTTCTAGAAGTAATAGAAAGTTTCTTCCATAGTTGGTCAAGTGTGAAACTAGATGGGACAGGAAGGGATTTCTCTGTAAACTTAATACATGCTCCTTTTAACTTTCTTGAACCAATTGAACAAAATAATTTATTTACAGTTAAATATTTTATTTATTTTTATAAATGTGTCACACTTAGTGATCCAGGAAGTATTAAAAGAAGATGGAAGGAATATACTGAGTCATTATATAGAAAGGAATTGGCAGATACAGAGGAATTTAAAGAAATA